CCCAGCCTTCTGTGGGAGGAAGGTTCACTTTCCTTTCCAGGCCATCATACTGCAGCAGGTTTTCAATGTGTTTTATAAAGGGATGGACATGAGAGCCTTCCCTTGGACCCAGTTCCGCCAGCCACGGACGCAACCACCCCACTAGTCACCAGGCTTGTTAAAAGTGAGGGCCTAGAAGGAGCTGATTTCATTCATTTTACGGCAGTGTAGCTCCCCCCAAGAGAGGCCAGGCTGGCCAAGATGTGTGTGGTCCACTCCTCACGTGTGAAAGATGTCTTCCAGGCTTTCTCCCTAATGTATGCCTGGTCGTGCCCCGGACCGTGACCACGGTTCTCATGTAGGTAACAGCCACCGACCTCTCCTTCGCCGCACGAGCACGCGTAAGCTGTCTCAGCACTTGCCTTTCTGTTGTTTAGAAACGGTCCCCACAAATGACAGCCTTTTCCATCCCCAACCCCAAGTTACCGTGTCCTTTTACACCCTGACGTCCCGATGCCCCAGACCCTCCACACCCAGATTTGGGTCGGGGTGTTCTGTAGTCACCTGAGTCTGTTCCTGCTTCCAACAGACCGAGACAGAACCAGAAATTCAGTTCTCTTTGGCTCTTTGGATCCGAGCTTCCTGGTTAAAATGATTTTTTAAAAAAATAAATGATGTGGCGAGAGAATGTAGAAATGTCTGGAACGTGTCCAAGACCAGTGAGAACGCTGTGAGGAGACAATCCCACTGCGGCCTCGCAGCCCAGACGAGTGAGACGTGCCCCGGGGACGCCCCTGGCCCCAGCGGCTGGCAGCGGCGGCGGGAACTTCGGCCACGGTGGCGGTTGGTGCGGTTTCTCCACCCCCGCCTCCCGCATCCCGCTCCCCTTCTCCCGACTGTTTCTCAGAACAGGTTCTATAGCTGTTCCATCCTAAACGCCAGCCAGCCCGTGTTCGGGCAGCAGGGACCCGCGGGCATGCGGGAATCCTAACAGAAGGAGCACTTATCCCCTGAGCACAAACAGGCTGCTTCGGGGCTGATGGATTGACAAGCGAAGGGCGTCGCTCACGTGGGACCCTGTTGTACGCGGGGAAGGGATGGACGGACTGTCGTGTGCAGACCCACGGGCGTGGGCACAAGTTGCTCCCTCCCTGCCCACCCCCAGGCTGCACTCATGTGGTCTGGATGCCTCTCCTGCCGTGATTTAGTGCAGGATACCTCCAGGATGACTGAGGGGATGTTTGTGGCGGAAGCAGCGTTCGTGCGGCTCCCGGGTTAGCCCGGCTTCCCAGACGCTGAGCCTGGCATGAGCGCTCCTGCGAGCGGGATTTGGAAAGGGCTCCCTGGAAAAACTGGTGAGAGACGGGGTAGTGGGACCAGGACGGGAGGAAGGGTGGCACACAGTGCCAAGCAGAGGCTCCAGTGAGCAGAGACTCGCGCTCAGGGCAGCCCTGGGTGCTGGCTCTCGGAGGTGGAAACACCCTGGGCGCTGGCGTTTGGAGGTGGTCATGGTCCGTGGGGAGGCAGGCAGAGCACAGGCGAGGCTGCTTCGGTTCCTTTCCAGCCACTTTCAGAGGCATTCACAGGAGTGATAACTGCACCAGACAGTGCTTCCCTGACATCAGACCTCACTCTTGTACGTTGGCGTCTCTCAGGAGTCCTGATACCAACTCTTTCCACCTTACTTTTGTGGGTCCCAACACACCAAAGCAGATATTGGGGTACCAGCATCCCATGGCCATAAAATGTGCAAGTGCTCAAGTGGTACCCAGGATTGAGATCCTGCCAAAGGCGACAACGGCTTCCCATCAGGATGTAGCTCAGGTCACAGGGGAATGTGGGTCAACTCCGAGCTCATCCTTGGCCCATGACAAGTGTCAAGATGCAGGCGAGCATTCCCAGCATGTAAATAAGGCAGAAACTCTGAGCCAGTCCCTTTTTGGGTGGAAGCAGCTGGGAAGTGGTTTCGTCTGGGTAGGAAGCCCTGGATGCAGAAAGCTATTCACCGCGAGGCCTGCGGTGGGGCAGAATCCCAGATGCAGCGCACTCCGGAGTTTTGTTTCTCTAGCCCGAGGCTTAGAGAAAGGCTAATCAGGAAATCTGGCCAATTTTCGTCTTGGGTCCCATTCTAGGTTCTAATGTACCATGAAATTCAATGCAGTTCCACATGCTTTTTTAGACTCTGGGTGAAGTCTTTTCTTTTGGAAAAAACAAAGCTAGGGTTTGTGTAAGCCTGTGCTCGATGTCTCTGAGCCTGGGGGAAATGTGAACTGGGCCCCAACTCATGTGGATTCCGAGGAGGTGACCGTGATGTGGGAGAAAGGGCGCTTGGCTTAGAGGCCCTGCCCCAGGGTCACACTTGCTTTGTGAACTGGGCCTCAGTTCCCCTCTCTGTAAAGCACAAAGCCATCAGGGTGGCCGTGAGGTTAGGGAAAGATCACAGAGGGGGAACAGTGACCTGGTGACGTTACTGAAGGCAGGTTCGTGTGCCCAATGCACCGTGAGGCCAAACGAACCAAAACACTGGAGCTCAGAACCGGGAAAGATTTATTGCAGGACCGAGCAAGGAGGGCAAGGTGGCTCACGCCCAAGAAAACCCCAAACTCCCCGAAGGGCTTCAGCAAAGTACGTTTAAAGACCAGGTGAGGGAGAGGGGGTCACGGGGACAGGATCAGCTTGTGCACAATCCTCTGGTTGATGTGGAGGGAACGGGGCGGTCAACACTATCAGCCCCTAAGGTGCCAGAAGGTCTGGGGGCCACTTGCGCTCGATCAAGTAGTTAATTTCTTTCCTTTGATGGTGGCTTAATTTAAGCATCTGGAAATCTCAGGAACTATACGTGAGATCTGATTATCTGGGTGCTTCTGAGAGGAGCTGTGGCAGAGGACGGGGGGGGGTCTGTCCCGGGAAGGCCCCACAGGGTCCTGCTCGGTTACAGTGATGCCTTAATAGTGATCACTGTTTCCACTGGAGAACTTGTCTGCTGTCCGAGGAGAAACACCTGCACGATCCCCACCTCCTTAGAACACAGACGACTGCCCCTTCCCACCTCCACAGCCTACTCCCTGCTTCCTCTCCTCCATCCTCCTCGACGGCCTCCCCTTCTTCAAGGCTCCACTCAGGACCAACCATCCCTGCGGTCCTTGCCCACTGCTCTGGCTCAGGCTGAGGCGTTGGCTCCTGACCCCAAATACCACCTTCTGTCTGATCCGTGTTAGCGTAGATACAGATAAATTGTTTAAGTGTAGTTTTAGATGGAGTTACCACTTCAGGAGGAGAGAAACCGTGGCAGAGTGCATCTTCCAGATGGTCTCAGTGTTGACTCCGGGATCACGTGTGCTTCCAGAATCTTGTCCCTCCCCCACCCCCACCAGAAGTCAGGAGTCTACTGCCCCTCCCCCCGAGGCCTTCGTAAGCACCCCCGACCCACAGAAGGCGGTGGAAATGCTCTGTGACGTCCCAGTGTTGGTTGTTAAAGGCCATACGACTTCCTCCCGGGCCTCTAGCTCTGAGCCCATTGAGAAGTCCCCATGGACGAGGCCCGAGGAAGAGAGAGAGGGGCCCGAGAGCCCCAGCGGGTCCAGCCCCTGTGTTTGAGTCTCCCCAGCACGGGTGCCAGAAAGGCTGTGAGTGCTGAATTCACATTTCCAGTTCCAGCTGCCGTGTAAGGACCATCCTCTGAGGCCAGTCCACCCCCCGAAGTGGGGCCCACAGTAGTGAAATGTCATGGCTGTCTTAAACCACTACGTTTTAGGATAGCTGCTAGTAAGCATTGGGGTGCGTAACACGCATCCACGCGTGTACACACGTACACTTTCACAGGTATACGTCGTACACGGTACATGTATGTTTGGGGATATCACCTGCCTTCTATCGTCCTCCAGTTTGTGTGTTTGTGTCTTTAGACCTGGCTTCCCCAGCTGGGCTGTAGAGTCCAGGAGGGCAGAGCTGTGTTACGTGCACCCTAGCTATCTCTGCCAGACCTGGACCGGCGTGGTGGGTGTAGCCGTGCCTTGTGGCGTCGGATGGATGGGGAGACACCTGTATCCCTGAAAAGCTTGCTAACATTACAGGATGCATTTGTGAGCACAAAGAAATCAGAGTCTCTTTGGCCTTTGAATCATTCTCAGAGGAACCCTGTATCCTTGGAGAGAACCATTTGGTTGAAATCGCTAAGCATAAGCCGCTTGATTGGCTTCTGTGTCGCAGACACAGGGAAGGGCACTGAGCTCTCGCCAGCCCTCCCACCTGTAGGCGCCGGACCACCAGCCTCTTGGATTAGCCAGCAGTTAGGCCAGACCTTGTGTGCTTGGTCCAGAATCCGCAAGGAGTTGCCACTTCCATCTTCAGATTAAAAAGCAGCCCCTTAGCCTCGCTCCTCACCTTAGTGTTAGCTAGGAGAGTGGAGATTTTAAGCCATCAAGTTGGACAGTCTGGTCATAGTTATTTGAGCTCTGCAAGAAAACTTAAACATCAGAGTCTCTCACAGAATAACAAATAACAAAACCCCCCACAGATCTCAAACATTGAAAGGATTCTTTCTTTAAAGAATTATTTTAATAGATTTTCTCCGTAGACTTAAATGAAATGCCCCAAATTCAACGTTTACATGAGAAAAGATCAAAGGACGCAATGGTGTAAACGTCTTTTCGTCCTTTGAGAGCTGGCTGAGTCATTCTGCCGCCCGCTGTGTGACCTCGCTGTCCAGCAAGCCAGGTGAGCTGCAGGCCAGCATCTCTGAGCACGTGTTAAAGCAGTCCTTGGGTGGTGGGCATGGCGAGATGTTCATTGTCTTTGATTGGCCTTTTACTTCAGTGGGCCCAAGATTCTTCCTGGTTTGTGACAGTAAATGCCTGCACTTGTCTCTGGCCCCTGTGCTGCTGTTGTTGCCTGAAATAAGTTGCACCACCTGAAAGCTAAGAGTATGTTTTATTCAAAGGCCGTTTCTGAGGACTCGAGCCCGGGGTGACCGCCTCCTGTATCGCTCTGAGGGACTGCTCCAAAGTGTCAAGGTAGAAGCCAGGATATACGAGTTTTTGCAACAAAGACCGGGTAGTTGGAACATCAAAAGATTGCTGTTAATAGAAGAAAACCAGATATCTCAATTTAAGGACTTCAGCACTTTTCTATGTACGGGAAGGTACAAAGGTCTGGGCTCAGTGAGATCATTCCTTTGATGTGCACCTGGAAACCTAGGGGCCAGTGTCCTGTGCTCTCCCGTCCTGAATCCCCTCAGGGGGGACCACTGGGGGTGGCAGCTGAAGCCAGGCTGCCTGCTCGTCTGCATCCTGAGTTCTCTCCGCTCACTGTCGGAGGTGGCAGTAGTGGCTGATGACTTGATGGTTGCAGCATCCTTTGTTTACCGATACTGTTTGCAGTATTCTTCGTTCGCATCATGATGACGTTGATTACATCATAAAGTTTATGCTACTGGCTCTGCATCGTCTTGCCCCTAAATAATTATGTTGATTTCCTTAAGGGTTTCCATGAATGTGTTTTCAACTCCAGCCAACTCTGTGATGAAATATAAGCACAAAGAAAGACACAAGCTAGCCAGAAATGACACAAAATCCTAAATTCTGAGGGGGAACCAGCAGTCGCTGGCTTGTAACAGGGAGTGTGATGGAATTCTGACACCTGAACAAAGGGAAAGCTTTCCTTCCTCCTTACTTTGAACACGAGTGGTAGTGTTTATTCATTTGGTCTCAACTAACTCAAGAATTGAGTAGAATTTCCCCCCTTTTTTTCCCCTTTAAAAAAGATTAAATGTTAGTTCTTTTATGTGCTTTGTGTAATGGCCGGATTTAGTCAAAAGTCTGTCTGCTGCCTACCTTTCTTCCCTATTTCGGAAGCTTCACAAATTTGTCTGGACTTGAAAAGCCTTTATTGAACACCTACCTCTTGTAGTTGTGAATTTCAATTTGCCAACTTCATGTGGGAAGTCAAAAGCCTGACACAGGAACATATAAGAAAACCTCCCATCTCCAAAAGAAAGCGGGACCTGATCTCACTCCCTTAGCTGTAGCTGGTTTCTGATATCACTTTGCCCCTGACACCCGTTCTTGCCTCTGAGACTTCAGGCATCACCTGTCGGAGACATCAGAACCGTCACAGACACATCTCTGGGTTGCCTTTGCCTCGAAGTAGTTACAGCTGAGGGCTTGGCAAGGCCGAGTGTCTCCTCCTGTAACCTTCGACCGTGCCGAGTGCTCTTTCTGTCCGAACCTTGGTTTATGCATATAACTTAGTGTGAAATTAGGTTACCCCCTAGACCCTCCATGACATCTTGCCAGCCCACCAGTCACCTTCACTTTCCCCAGGGTGTTACTTACCAGTGGGACACACAGTTGTCGCAGGCTGCATTAGTTCTTGGAGGACTTAATGTAGCTAATAGCGAGTTTGGGGAACCTTGCATGTGAATTTCGTCTACTGCAAATTTTCTTTGGCAGGTTATGATCTTGTGTATGTTTGGACTTTTGATTTCCAGTCATGGTAGAATGGTTTGCACTGGATGAATGCTTCTGTAGGAACGATTACAGACTCTGAACAAAACAAAGGAAAGTAATTGTTTAAAAGCTTGGGAAAATAAAACAAGCAGAGACTAGGGAGTTATGGAGTTTGAAAGAAGGATACCACACTGTGCGAGGGCCACACCAGGTGGCTCTTCCCCAGCATGAGCCGTTCACGGGAGATGGAGCTTAAGCAGAAAGCAGTGATCTTATTCGGCTGAGACATCAGAGATTAGAGTTTGGAGCTCCCAGAGCAGCTGGAAATTGGGGGACATCCCAGAAAGGAAGAATTCAAACATGCATATAAGTTCCCCTCAAATACTTGACTGACCCCAAAATTTTGCATGCTTTGGGGGCAGCTCCGGGCAGTCCCTGGGAACTTGAAAGCCGAAAGCACCTGAAAGGCTGGACTTGCTGAGCAGAGATTTCAGTAGCTGCCAGTGCTGGGCAGACAGAGTTTGGAGGTCAAGGTGCCAGAGGTAAAGAGGCTTAGTAAACAACTCAGACCTTCCATGGAAACCCTACGAGGACCGCTATCCCTGGACTAAGAGTGTATCAGAACACACTTCTGTTAGGAAAAAAACCCCAAACCAGCACCAGAGATGACCCTCCAGTGATTTAACTTCCTGCTCCAACAAAACTCAACACTCTTCTGAGGAAGACAGCTGAGTCCAGAGTCACCTCAGTGCATCATCCGCACACTCAAATATACAATCGAAAATTACTAGACACACCTCAAGTCGATTCTAGGTCACTTTGCTTTGATCTGCCTGCTCCAAACTGTGAGCACTGTTGCTCATCTAATTACAAGACAGCACAATGGCTTCCTTAAGATATCTTTCTTGTTATCAGTTTCTACCCTTGGTCTGTACTCTGAAAGCTCAGAGGGAGAACAAAGCACATTTTGGAAGCAAAAGGCCCTTAGTGTCTTTCATTCAAAGCTATAGAGCCCAGTGACGGGCTACGGAATGGGGAAAAATGGATGTAAGAATTCCTGTTTGTTTAGGATTAATTACACTCTTCTCTTAATTTTCATTCACATTCAGTGACAGATATTTTCCAAAAGATGGCTCCATGGTATTTGGAATCTAAGCTTTGGATGCATAAACTTAGTGATCCAACAACAAAAGCCTTAAATTCAAACCTACCTTTAAAGGAGTTTCTGGCGTAATTAGGAGATTTTCACGTCCCTGGCGGGGGGCAGGAATCCCTGAGCACCTGTGGGATGTCCAAGCTGGCCCCTGTGGGTCAGTGCCAGATGACCCAGAGTGAAACCTCCTGAAAAAAAAGAGAGAGAGAGAAAGATTTTCAAGTGCATTGACCCAAAACCATAGATAAATGATCAAAAGATATCTAATGCATGGTAACATAAAAGGGAAAATGATTTCCCCTAGGTAACATCTTCATTTCTCCCTCAAGGAGGGGCCAGAGGTTGCCAAATACTAAGTGCAGAGTGAGCACAGCTTGTATTTTGCTAACTGAATAAGCCAGTAGTTTGTCTGTTTGCTTACATATCTTCCTACAACTAGTTGTGAGTTTTCTTAGTTATTTCATCATTATAGACTAGATGTCAAGCTAATGTTTTATAAGTGGGTAACCACCTAATACGTCTGCTTAAACATATTTGATGTCTTTGGGGGATCCTACTGAAACGCTTTTTTTTTCAGTTTGAGTTCTGAATATTTTTTAATTGAGCTGTAGTTGATTATTGAAGCACTTTTAATTCTCCTCGCCTGCACCCCAGGTTTTTCATGGCTTATACTCTAAAACAGGTGCAGTTCAAAGGAAATGATGGCAGGAATCACTATTATCTGGGGCAAGGAGAGCCAGTTATTCTCTCATTTTAGGATTTTGTCAGTAAAGCTTCAGCAAGGGAAGTAAGAAGCACACATGTCCCCATTCCCATTCCTATAACCATGGCAGACTTGTTAATAGATCATGATGCTCTACCGCAGTGAGCCCCATCCAAGACACAGCCGAACAGTCAGTCGTAATCAGTCAACTGATGAGCATATGAGATGAGATCTTTTTTTAGCACCAAAATTGATAATCATGGAATAATATTTGGGGGAAAAAGAAAGATTAGGATTTGAAACGGAAAACAGAGGGAGAGCTTTAGCAGGGCTTGTCACCAAAGCCTTCTGTAAATTACCTTCCATCTGTAGATCAATAGGACACCAAAGATGCCTTCTAAAATTTGAGATTTGGTGAGTTAACATTTTTTCAAACCACTGATTTTGAAACTACCAGTCATTTAGAATTGAGCACTTCATTTTCAATGAAGTAAATGCATAGAGTGAACATTTTCAATATAGATTCCTGTGGGGAATTGCTACATTCAACAAGCACTATTTTAATTACAGTTTTCCTAAGAGTATTTTTCACCCAGGCTCGTCCTCTCCAAGGGCGCTTGAGAAGGAATGGGCATGCCTTCCAATCATTTTAGGTCATCTTAAGGAGCTATGTGGTAGGTTTCCACATACATCAGCTTGTTGGTTGGTCTGAATTTCTCTGGGTCAGTAAGCAGATGTGGGAACATGAGAGATGCAGTACCTGGGTCAGACCCCAGTTCATCCATCCAAATGTTCTGTCTCTGCCATTGGCACCAAGGGACATTTTGAGGAACAGAGCCATCCAAGAAGAGCATGAAGTTCTGAACACCACAGGGCTATTGACCATAAATATTTCATTTCCTTTAATAAGAATTCATTACTGATACAGCTGCAGTGATCCCACAGGAGCAACAAATGCAAGCTGTAGGCTCTTGCCTATGCAAAGAGGCGTCTGTCTCTCTGCAGCCACGTCTGTGGCCTCAAGACATGACACCATTAGTGGGGTCACTGTCTTTTCTACAGTAGCTGCTGGATCAGAAACATAAGCAGTGTGGATGCCATGGCTTTTTATTATTGATAAAGAAATATGTTTCTGTTTCATCAAATTACATGTCAGTGCCCTGCCAGGCCAAAAGTCTATGTAACTAATGACTGGGGTTCTTTAGTTGCAAAGAATGTCAGTTCCCTTCCAGGAGAAAAGCTTGTGGGATGATTGTTTAAAATCTTCTGCCAATCTGGACGTGAGAGAAAGAACTCTGGAGGGGAAATAAGGAGATTGTCATGGGTGTTGGATCAACTTCTGGATCATGAGAAAGGAACAAAGACAGTCTTCCAACCTGCACGCAGGACCAAGGTAGTTCTGTGCTGCTGACGGTGACTCAGGGTGCCTCACTTCTCCATAAATGCATGAAAACCATGCCACTGAAGATTGCTGCCATTATTTTAGGGAAAATTCACCTGAATATGGATGAATTCTCTGCTGGAAAAACTAGCCTTTGTTGAAATGGAGGGGTGCAAGAGTGCAAAATTCCTAGCTCCCCCTGTCTTACGATGGGTTTGCCAAAAGGAGGCCCTGAGGCAAACTCAAGTACAAGTTTACTTTGGGAGATGCCCCAGACAGGGGAGACGGGAAGGGAGACAGGGACAGGAAGGCAGCCAATCAAATGAGTGTTACAAAGCCACTTGTCATTGTGGGCAACTAGAGTTTAATCCTGCTGAGAACTGTAGCAAACGGTTCAGAACATGCCTCAGTTATCTCACCCCAGTGGTGAGGGAGCTGAGGTACTTATACACCCACCTTCCATCAGACTTTGGTTGAGGGCTTCTCCGGGGGCAAAGAGCCGGATGAATTCAGCGAATCCAGCCTGCAATTTCTGGGCCGAGCACCCTTGGAGAGAGCCCTCAGGCAAAGAAATGCAAGCGCTGGGAGTTGCCTAGCATGAAAATGGTAGGACCCAGGCATGTGAGCAGGACATGAATGCCTCGAGAAGCATGCGGGCCCACAGTTCTCTTTCTCCATTATTTAATAAATAAAAGGAGCTACCATTTGATAATTACTTACCTGATTCTAGCTACTACATGTTTTGTAAGTATCATCACCGTGAATTCTCATAATAACCGCATAAACTGGCATTGTTTTCATCCTCTCACTTGGCACATTAATAAGTGAAGACAGGAAAAGGGTAAGGAGTTTTTCCAAGGCCACAGAACTCATGAGTGGCGAAGGAGGGCTTCAAATCCCGGTGTTCAGGCTCATAAAAGCCCAGCTGCCTGGGGTGAGCAAGTGCCACTGCATCAGCGTTTGGCTGAAACAGCCTTTCTCAGCGACTTTGATCGGTAATCGCTTTTTGAGTAATTGTGTGATGAGCCCTGGGTGGAGGCTCTTGGTGACCACGACCTGCATTACATCCCACCTCACAGAGATGCTGGTCATGATCTTGTTTTCAGGCACCTCAACCCATTTGAGCCTGGAACTTTGTTTCTGGCTTTTGAAAGGAAGGACTTGTGCCGTTTAAAGTCAAGGGGGAAGAAAGGGTCAGCTGGCCTTTTCTAATACAGAGGAATCGACATGCTAGGAAGTCAGACCCCCTAACCTTGGTGTGACCTTGGGCTGGCTACTTGCCTTCTCTGGGCCTTGGTTTACTGATCTGTAAGTTGAGGATAGTAATTCCTATCCTGTAGAAGCAATGAAAAAGTGATAAATATATATTAACAGGACTCCATAAAGATTAGTTCCTTCCTTAAATTCAAGAACTTAGAGCTGAGGGTTCCCTTGCTCCCAGCCTGATCTTTTGCCCACTCCGCTGTTAACTCCTCAGTGATCAGGACTGGGCATCCTTCATCTTTTTGTAACTGGAGTTGAGTACGGTGCCCAAAGCATGGTAAGGGCTGAATAAGTATGTTTTTTGTTGTTGTTTTGTTTTGTTTTTGTTTGTTTGTTTTTGCACAGTTTTGGTTTGTTCATAAAATTTTCAAATGTTGTTAACAGTCCTTAGAATGGGACACAAATTCCAGTGATGACCTCATAGCAGCCTGCACCCTTCTGGTACCATCACTGTCCCCTTTCTACCTTGTTCTCCTGTGTCCTGCTTAGCCTCATTGAGCATAGGAGGAGGCCACTGAAATGTCTGAAACTTCTCAAGTTGTGAATATATCCATGTTCACACAGATTTGTTTTCTGGATAATTTTGCCCAGGGGCCTTCCATTATGATAAACATGTTCATTTGAGCAACAAACACTTATTTAGCAACTGTGCTGTTGCAGGCACTTGGCTCAGCACAGGGAATACAGAGAATATATTTCCTCTGACCTAAACTGCCCTCCCCCAGTCCAGTGGAGGAGACAGAAGAAACCAGAAATTGCTGCAAGACAAGGCCTCATGTGCAGATGCTGTGGGGATGCTGAGAACATATTTGTTCTTGCATTGCTCAGGGTGGGTTTGGATATGCTGGGTAACAAACAGCCCCAAATCTCAATGGCTAAGAATACAAATGCTATTTATTACCTATGCTACATGCCCTGAGTGTGCATATTAGGGAGTGGGATTCTGACATCAGTCAGTCAGGGACCCAGGCTGATGGAAGATTCATCCTGATAGATGTTTCCATGAACACTGAGACAAGAAAACGTAAGGTAGTGAGTCAGACCCTGGCTATGAAAGTCCACTCGGAAGTGTGACCCATGTTGTTTCACTTACATTTCATTAACCAAACAAGCTGCCTGGCCCCACCTAACCACGCAGGGGACTGAGAAGTGTGCTCCTTCCAGGTCTCAGAGCAAAGGGACATGGGCTGTTTGTCAACAACCTGAAAGACCACATGAGTTAGAGTCTAGTTGTTGGGGGTTTTGCTGAACTGTCCCTCCCAGCATCATTTCTCAGCTAATAATTCTGTCTTGAGTTTACACAAAAACCGTGTCCTGGGAGAAAGGCTTTCCGAGTTCATTCACTTGGTGTTGATCACTCTTTCATGGACCCGGACCTGGTGGGTGCCTCCCACAGAGAGAGAAAGGATGGAGTTCCTGCCCTCTAGGAGCTCACAGGGTGGTTGAGTCTGAGGTATGCGTGGGCAGCAGAAGACTGCAGTTTGGTTGGAAAGTCACTGGGTGCTCACATAGTATAATAGGGCCCTGAAAAGAGGGTTGGGTCAGCTCCGTGGGAGGCTGAGTGTTACCGTACCCGGCAGACTGGGTTTTCTCCACGTTCACCGTTCACTCCAGAGGAGGAGGGAGCAGCAGTTTATGGGGTGGAGGGAGGGAAGGTTGGGGGAGCATCAGGGCAGATGAAAGCACCTCAGCCAGAATCAGGATGTCACCCATTGCTGCAGGGGATCAGTTGGGCGATGTCAGGACCCTAGTTCTTGGGGCAATCCCCAAGAGTCCAATCAGTCAAGATACGCTAGCTATTTTGTGCTGAGAAACCCCTGGGATGAGACAGGGGCATCGTGATGGCTGCAGCGGCCCAGATTCCCTTCTCTCAGACATTCTCAGGGAGCCAGGCCTCTTGAGACGTTCTGATCTTCATCTGGTGCAACTCCATTTGATCAATCTGAGATCGGTATGTCTAAAGATGCCACGAAAGTCCCCACTGCCTCTTTTTTTTTTCCCCAAAGAGAACAGAAAATACTCTCCATCCCCTTCAAACCGCCATTTAGACTCATCAAACTCAGGCCTCAGGGAGGCAGCCAGGAGAGAGAAGCCGGGCGCTGATTGCAGTTGCTGCGGTAAGGGGAACCGCTCCCTCCGGGCTCTGTGGTTTCCATGGGAACAGCACTGCTCGCCTTTGCCTCCCCCACCCCCAACTCCCCGGGGCTGGCTAGATGTACAGAAAGGAAAATTGGGGGAGCGGAAGAGAGGAGCAGAAAGAGACTTTGAGGATTTTGAAGGTATTTGGGGGAATGCTCAGCCAGATGTGTGGCTGTTCCCAGCGTGGCACGTGGACCACGTGGCCCCCAACAGCCTGAACACGGGAAGCACTTACCTAGATGCTGACGCTGTGATGCAGCAACTTTGGACTAAACACCATCCTGGAGAAACAGACGCCAACGCAAGGCAGGCAGGAGCTGGTGACAGGTGGATTTTACCACCACCACTGGGAGGAACGTGTCCTGGGCCCCCTGCCGGACCAGCATCCCGCTATGGTTATAATGATGAGCAATAGCGGGAGGGACCCAGGAAGCACGGCGGGAGATGTTTCCCGTGCAGTGTGTACTCTCCCCAGCAGCCCTGCAGGATGCACCCACACACCCAGCTCACAGATGAAGGAGATGGGCTCTGAGAGGGGACAGGGTAATCATGAGCGGTAGAGGTGGGATCCAGACCTGGGCCGACTCCTCCTGGGGGCTCTTATGTAAAATCTAACTGACAGCCCCAGGAAAATGTTACCTTCCCAATGATGGGTGAGCATCCTAGCTCAAGCCTTGATTAACCAATGCCTCTGGTTATTCAGGATTTGGGTGCAAGAAAGCACAGCCAAGCAGAGGGTGGCTGGGATGGCATCAGCTCCACCGTCAGCTCTGCAGGAGGCATGGAAGGCTCCACTCAGGTTTATAGATGAGAAGACTGAGACCAGGAAGCTCTGGGCAGGGCCTTCCAGTCCAGCGGGCCAGCCTGTCTCTGTACGCTGATCGTGGCCAGCTCCAGCTGCTCTGTCTTTATTTTTCAGTTGAAGTAGAATTGACTTAC